AATATATAAATATATAAATATATAAATATATAAATATATAAATATATAAATATATAAATATATAAATATATAAATATATAAATATATAAATATATAAATATATAAATATATAAATATATAAATATATAAATATATAAATATATAAATATATAAATATATAAATATATAAATATATAAATATATAAATATATAAATACAAATATATAAATGTATAAATATATAAATATATCAAAATATAAATATATTTTATATTTATATATATTTTATATTTATATATTTTTTATATTTATATATATTTTATATTTATATATATTTTATATTTATATATTTTATATTTATATATTTACACGGATAAATATAAATATAATTTATTTGTAAATTATTTTCAAAATAATCTAATAGCTTAGTGGTTGGAGTATCGACCTCCATCTTCGAAGTGCTTAGGTTCGAATCCTGCCAATAACAATTTCCTTAATCTAATAATAATTCAAAGTTTCGAAAATGTAATAAATAATAAAAATATAATATAAAGGGGAGGGGTTGTAATAAATAAAAATATTTTGTTAAGGTAAGTGCATTACCTACGAATTTTACCCGTAGATAATAAGCATTTTTTTTGTAGTGCGTTGAAAGAGTGTAAATTATTTATCGTTATCAATAATATTGAAAATCCAAACAATAATTTGGCATCTTTTACTTCCCACAATCAGGATATGCAACATTTATACAGAGATGGCCCCACTATCATTCCCCCTTCACGTACATCTTGAATTTAAATTCACAAGTTTTAACAATTCCCTTAATCTAATAATAATTCAAAGTTTTGAAAATATAATAAATAATAAAAATATAATATAAAGGGGAGGGAGTTATAATAAATAAAAATATTTTGTTAAGGTAAGTTGCATTACCTACGAATTTTACCCGTAGATAATAAGTATTTTTTTTTGTAGTGCGTTGAAAGAGTGTAAATTATTTATCGTTATCAATAATATTGAAAATCCAAACAATAATTTGGCATCTTTTACTTCCCACAATCAGGATATGCAACATTTATACAGAGATGGCCCCACTATCATTCCCCCTTCACGTACATCTTGAATTTAAATTCACAAGTTTTATAATTCTTGTCATTTTATGAACATAAAAGTTGTATTTATCTAAAGTTATCATGACAGCAAGGTGCAAGTGCGAGCGTGAACAAATATTCGAGTACAAACAGAATTCACAAAATAAATGAGAATCACAAATGGAGAAACTACTAACAGATAATAGGACGCAAAAATAAAAACCTCAAATTTAATCACAAATTTTTTACAAGGTCATTAGAAAACAATATTGGATCAGAACTAATATGACACTATGATAAGAAAATTGATTTTTTTTTATCTTTGTTTATATGTATTAGTTTTATAAATAATAATCAAAACATTTACAAATAATTATTACTCATTCTTACAAATATTTTATTGTATAGTATATAATTGAGGAGAATAAATCAATTCATAATTTAATAGATTTATTATTAAAAAATAAATTAATATAATTTAAGAAAAAAATATTTTTTACATTCCTTAATAATAAATTTTAATTATATACAAATATATTATTTTATATTAAATTATAGTATTTTAAAAAAATATATAACACAGCATTTTAATTAATCTAGAAAGTAAAGGTTGTTAATATTATAAAAAAATAAAATTCAAAACATCAACAAAGTCACGTATTTATAAAATAGTTCAAAATTTAGTTTTAATGAAATTATTTAACTTTTAAATGGAGGGTAATATGGTATACATTAATTTTCTTTTAGTTTTGTAACAACAAAAAAAAGTAAGATGTTGTTTGTTTAAATTACTTGTTTTCATACTTAATCAACGAAGTCAAACAAGAGGGATGATGACCCTTAAGTAAGAATATATAATAAAAAGTGGTGAATGATTGTAGTTTGTTCAAAGAGCAAGTTGCAACGGTAGGTTGAAGGGGGCAAAGTTCCTTTCAAAAATGAGAACTCAAAGTTATGAGGAATATAGAAATTTGTCATCATCCCTTTTCAAACATGGAAGAATTAACATAAATTCCAGTAAAACTTGTCATCCCTTTTCAAACATACTTTGATGAAAGAATTAACATAAATTCCAGTAAAATTTGTCTGGGTTTAGAGGTGAATCATGGGTGATTTAAGATGTTTAGGGTTAGAACCTTATAAGAAATTTAGGGATAAGGTGGAAGGAAAGAATTAATCACTATTCTCAAAGAAGATAACTCACAAAATATGTGAAAGTCATTTGATTTCTTGAATCACTTAAGAATTTAGGAGAATAACTCTCATTCAAATAAAAGAGATAAACTCAAGAATCACTCAAGAATTACAAAGATTGAATAAAAAAAAATATTAATAATGATTCATTATCCTATAAATTAAAAACTACTTAATGAAGATAAATAAAGATTAATAATAATCTATTAACGTAGAAATTGATATTATTTAATGACTTATTGTAACTGAAATTGTGGTAACAAAAAATGAATCAACTATAAACTCTTCTGATGTTCCAAAATTGATAATTAAATTTTTAATTGATCTCTTACTATAAGTTGTAATAAAACTAAATTAAAACCTATTAATTGATTAATCCAAAATAAGATTTGGTGAACCAAATAGTGGAACAATTTCCTTAATCAAATCCCTATGATGAAGTTACTTAAAAAAATAAAAAAGGGAAAGTTCCTTTCTAAGTTACGGGGAATATAGAAATTTACCATCATCCCTTTTCAAACATACTTTCATACAAGAATTAACATAAATTCCAACAAAACTTGTCACAATCTTGTCACATCTACTTTTGTCCTGTTTTCTGCCCTTTCATAGACTTCCAAATCCAAAATATCATGCTCAAAACTATTGTATTTTAATTTACGGTAAAAAAAAATTCAGATTTTTCTGTTTTTTGACTTTATATAAAAAAAACTCTTTGAATACTCTTTTTTAAATATACATATTTAAAATATGTAAAAATCAGAAAACTGGTTTTTATATATTTTTGTCTATATTTATGACAAAGTTCACCACACACTCGATTATCTCTACTCTTTCGACTAAAACTAATTAGAATAGATTTATCACTGTTGTTAATACTAGTTTTCCTTTATTGTTATCTCTGTTCCAGTTTTTTATTTTATTTTTCATGTAAGTCGCAAAATAGTTTATGTATTCATTACTTTATTTTCCACTACAATTAATATTTACTTTACTTTTAATTTATTTATCCGAAATGTTTGAGGCTTTTGTTAAGATTTACGATTACTATATATTTTGAATTATACCCACTTCATAATTTCTGTATTGTTACCTTGTAGAAGCCCACAATTGAATCCAGCGTGCTGTAGCCCATCCAAAGCCCTTGGGCCTGAAGTCTGCATCTAACCACCTTCTTCCAATGTGAGCTTCAATTCCCATTTCTTGGCTTTCATAGAAAAGTTGTAATATTGTTTTTGGTCTTTATTATTATATAAAATTTTATAATTGATAATATAAAACCTCATATATATGTGATTATTTTTACTTTTCTAGAGATAATCATATTTATTTGTTAATGATTTTCTTGCCTAGTTAAAATGTTATATGCTAGTTTAGATTTTTCTTACGATTTAATTTTAGAGTTTCTCAATGTATTAAACAAATAAGATCCTTAGTTTGACCTTTTAAAACCTATTTACGTATAAAAAATAGTAATAATAAATTATTTACAAAATAATTAATTATATTATTCTTTAAATAATATGTGTTATCACGAGCACAATAAATTATTTTATGCAATAATCAACTATCGATGAGTTATTTTTCTACAAAATTAGATAATCAATTATTTCAGGGGATATTGATTATTTGTAAATCTTATATATTATTGATTCGAAATTTAGTATTTTAATAGCAAATTTAAACTGAGTTTTAACACTATACTTAATTTCTAACTCACTTTAAATTTAAAAGCATTCCAGTGTCATGCAAGACTAAAAAGCAAAAAAGAAAAACACCTACTAAATAAAGTTCTTTAACTTTTTAAACATTTCAATACATCTTCAAAACTATTATTACACTTTTTCATTTTTCTTAAAGCCTGGGACCTTTTTTAATAGTTTTTTGAAAGGTGTGATATCAACATATTTTTAATATTTTTTTTTCTTTTAGTAATTTCAATCAAGCATATATTAAATTATGCAAATCTTAGTTTCTATTCACTATTTTTTTTTAAGGATAAATCTTACGAGAAATATATGTTATGTATTATCTTGCTAACAGTATTAAGCACTGCTCACAACATAACGAAGAGAAAAAAAAGCAAAAAATAACGAAAGGAATGATGTATTAATTATGCAAAAGGGAAATGTTATTATTATACAATAGTTTGAGTTCGAGGAAAGTTTTTTTGCCTGCTTTTTTAAATGAAAAAGTAAAAATATAATTGCCTATGTGTTTTTAAAAGATATGGGACCGATTATTAATCATATTAATATTTTGTTGACACTAATTATCATTACTTATATCTTGACTAAGAGAGTAATGTTTTTGAAAGTCTATATATAAAATAAAGGGCAAGTCAAGGTAGTGAGCGAACTTTTGAAAATCTAAATATTTTAAAAGGTATGGTACTGATTATTAATGATAAACTCATTTTGTCGGAATAAACTTATTTCTATATCCTATAATTTTTATTTTTTTTACAGATAATAAAATGTTTTTATAAGAAATAAATAGATTATAACAAAGAAGGATAGACCTATTCTTTTCTATCTTGAAATGAAAGTCTACGAAGCCAGTCAAATACGTTGGTTAGGGTCACCGGTGACCCAGTCAGCGAGACTCACTTCGAGTTCCTTCTCCTTAATTTCCCCGTTGAAAATTTTGCACTCCCAAACACACTTTTAAATCACACTAACATTAATAAACCAAACAGCCACTACCGTTTATTTTCCCAATCCAAAAGTAAACCACAATGTCGTTTTTCTCCTCATTCACGGCCAATTCCAACCTCGCCACCGCCAAGGCCATCCTCTCCACGGCCGCCTCGGTGGCCGCCACGGCAATGGTGATCCGCTCGGTGGCCAACGAGCTCCTCCCGCAGGAGCTCCTGTCGTACGTCACCGGCGGACTCCGCAGAGCGCTATCGCGGTACTCGTCGGAAATAACGATGGTCATCGAGGAGTTCGACGGCCTCGCGAGCAACCAAATCTACGAGGCGGCTGAGACCTACCTGGGCACTAAAATCTCCCCCACCACGCAGAGACTCAAGGTCACCAAAACCGAAACCGACGACACCTTCGCCCTCACAATGGAGGGCAACGAGATCGTCACCGACGTGTTTAACGGCGTCAAGTTTAACTGGCTCCTCGTTTGCCGTCAAGTGGAGACCCGACACTTTCACAACCCGCGCGACCTGAACTCCACTTTGAAATCGGAGGTTCGGTCCTTGGAACTCACCTTCCACAAGAAGCACAAGCACACGGTCCTCAACGCCTACCTTCCCTTCATTCTGAGGGAGGCCAAGTCCTTGAAGCAGGAGACCAAGGCCGTGAAGATCTTCACTGTGGATTACAATAACATGTATGGGAACCCCAACGACACCTGGTCGGGGATCAAACTGGACCACCCCGCCACGTTTGACACGCTGGCGCTGGAGCGTGACGTGAAGGAGTTTGTTATAAGGGATTTGGAGAGGTTTGTGGCGAGAAAGGAGTATTATAGACAAGTTGGGAAGGCGTGGAAGAGAGGCTACTTGCTCTATGGACCTCCCGGTACAGGGAAATCCAGTTTGATTGCTGCCATGGCTAATTACTTGCGGTTTGATATCTATGACTTGGAGCTCACCGAGTTGCAATGCAATTCCGAACTCAGGAGGCTGCTCATTGCCATGGCTAATAGGTCCATTCTTGTTGTTGAGGACATTGATTGCACTATTGAGTTTCACGACCGCAGAACGGAGTCCAGAGCCTCCTCTCCTGGAAAAAAAGACAGACAGGTTTTTTTTTCTCCCCCCTAATTTCCCCCCTTTCTGTTTTATTGGATGGAAAATTGTTACTTTTGCTGGTATTAAAGTTGATATTAAGTTAAGTGAGGATAAACTATGAAGTTTTTCCCGTTGTGATGGACATTCACAGAAAAAGAGAGGATAAAGTTGTGCTGTGACACGTGTGTGTTATAGGATGGAAAGTTGGTCCTGTTCACTTTTTATATAATATTTTTTCAATCCAAAATATTTATTAGAACCACAAAGTTTGTTCTTTCTGTGATTTTGTTCTGTCTTTTGTGAGAAGGTCACCTACGGTGGTTTTGCTCTGCGGTTGTGCGGGAAAACGAAAAACTTTGGATGGATTTCGGATCCTCAGAATCATGGATTTGCACACGAATTCCGTCACTGTTACACTCTTTTATCTTTGTTATTCAGGGTAGTCCATTAGATTCTAGACAAGGTTGTAGCGTTTGCTAACTTGTAAAATTCTAGACAAGGTAGTCTAACTTATCTCAGGAAGATTTGGGTTGAATAATCCCACTATAGATTAATATGTGCCAACTCTACTATGGTATTTTTTTACCCCAATTTCATTATGATAAACTAGACATCCTTCTAGTTAACTCTCTTATTGTTTTAATATGTGTTTTGTTGTAAGTGATAGACTTATTCTCACACTGCTAAACTAAAGTGATTCTTCCTAGTTGTTCTGTTCTGGTGTTGGCGAGAGCGCAGCGTAGTTGGTGGATGCCTAAAATTGATTTATCATGTTCACTTGGATTTATTTAATTTTTTTGCTTATGCATTATTTTCATCCTAAAAATTTCTACTATCCATGCAGGTTACCCTGTCGGGGTTGCTGAATTTCATTGACGGATTATGGTCAAGTTGTGGGGATGAGAGGATTATAGTGTTCACAACAAACCACAAGGACAAGCTTGACCCAGCGTTACTCCGCCCTGGTCGCATGGATGTTCATATTCACATGTCCTATTGCACTCCCTGTGGTTTTAGACAGCTAGCTTTCAATTACCTGGGAATCAAAGAACATTCTCTCTTTCCACAGATTGAGGAAGAAATTCAGAAAACCCAGGTGACTCCAGCTGAAGTGGCAGAACAGCTTCTGAAGAGCAGCGACATTGAAACTTGTCTAAAGCGGCTTATAGATTTCCTAATAAAGAAGAAAGAAACACAGGAACTGGAGGTTAAAAGGAAGGAACAGGAGGCCAAAGATAAAGAGGAGCTTGTTGCTGGTGGTAAAGGAGAAGAGGGTGATGATGACGAAAAGAAAAGTACAACCGAGTTAAACAACAACACCTGCTGAAATTTTAGATTTGGTTGGGTGAAATAACATTCTCTTTAATTCGAACATTCCATTATATGGTTAGCTATATTTTCCCTTCGTAAGATTTTAAGCTATACTTATTTTGCTTTTGCTTTTTCACTTTCTATTTTGTTATATCCACGAGAGAATACTGTACCACGTTGATGACTAAAGCATTGTCAATGTTGTTTGGCAGGGAGTGTGAAACCATGTCTACCATAGTTGTCGTTAGAAAAAGAAATAAATGTACATATTATATAACTCGGAACTACTATTTCATATCCTAAAGAATCAATTGACAATTCAAAATAAGATTATTTTGGCTTTCCCTTTCTTGTTGGAGTCTCACTGCTATTCTAGATATGGTCAATTAGTTTTTCGTTAGTTTCTTAACATTTTTCTTCTTTATTTCATTTTTTTTCTTCATCGTGACATTACTTATCATATGCTTTACTTCCAATAATTTTTATGTTTTCTTATAACGAATTTTGTACACTGAAACAATACAAATCTAAGAGACTGACAAAAATGTCAATTTGTTGCTGTTTAACACTAATTTACAATAGAATAATATGAATAATTCTGTATATATGATATACATTTTCACGAAAGTTTTTTTTTTTTTTTACAATTAACTCAGTCTAATAAGCAATAAATTTTTAACTAATTATAACATTATCACTTAATTAAAATTCTCGTAATAAAATAATCTTTAACTTATTTCTTATTTTTTAAAATTTAATATTTTTTAGAGGTTTGATTAAGGTATTTATTTATTGCTCCTCGTATATACAAAATTTAAATTTAAAGTTTTTTTTTACTAACTTAATTCCTTAAGAAGTAAAAGTTCAATATTATACATATTATTTGCATACTTATATAAAAATTTATTGGAAAAAAAGTCTAATCTTATATTTAGACACCTTTTTATTTGGCTTGTTTTCAAAACCCACTTATATACTTAACTTCTTTTAACAGGTAAATCAACCAATTTACTAAGTCACATTTTTTTCTTCAACCATAACATTTCTCTAACATGCATTTTTAGATGTTTCCTTCTAATATATTGGTTATAATTCGGTAAACAAGGCAAAATATGCTTATTCATTGTATGCCTGATGTTGAATATGGTGTCTCTCTCATCTTTTAAGATTTTTTGGCTAGTGATTCACCAATCTATTAAATATCACTTAGATCTTCAAGATATACAGGAATATTTCTAATATTGTATTAGATTAATTTATATTTGCAATTCATCAATAAGAATATATTTATGTGAAACTTTTTTGCTTTTAATATTGTACCACTTGTTTGAAGGTATTATTGCATTACATTCAATTTTATCTTTGTCATTAGGATATTTGTAATGTGAGGAATAAGAAAAAAAAAATTATATATCTGAAAAATTATCTTCACGAGCCCATATTTATTATTCTTTTTCTTTCACTATTATTACTGTAAACTTTATATCTCATTAAAAAGTGTTGTTTTTCATTTACAAATTTGATACTCTAGAAATGTGGATGTGTCTGGGAGGTATTTAGATCACCTAGTACACTCAACAATTTTTTTTAAATAAAAATTAAAAGTTAAACTAAAAGTTAATTATTATTTTAAAAATTAGCTCAATTATATTTTTAGTTCTCAAAATTTAAGATAAATTTAGTTTTGATTATTTAAAAATAAAAAATATTTTAATTCATTAAATTTAAAAGAATATATGACGTTAGTTCGAAAATATAAAATGGGAGAACTAAAATGTGCTTTTTTTAAAAGTCCTTATTCAAATTTAAAATTTTGGAATTTAAATAATATTTTTTAAACATTTAAATCACAAAAAATACAAACGAACAAGAATATAAAAAATAGCGAAGAAACCAAGTCAATAAAAACAATACTTAATAAAACACCATTTCACGCATCTTTCTTTAAAAAGTTAAAATCAAGCTAAAATATTTATTATTTATTATTTTTATATATAATTTATTATTAATAATAAATATTGATGTATATAATATTTGGAGTCTTGTAAAAGGAGAAGGCTGAGAAAGAATTTCATTAAAAATGTTAAACTAAATTATTCAACGAAATCATGTCATAAATAAATTTAATAAATACTTGACAGTAAATATGATTGCAAAAAAAATATTTATTTTAAATTTTTATATTTTTTAAATATTAAAATTCATAAAATTATATTTTAGTTTTTGTACGTTATATCATAAAATTACGGTATTATGTTATTTCATATTATTTTTGAATTATTATAATAGGTTTAATGATATGTATTCAATTCCAATTGAATCATGATTGGTTTGAAGCATGTGGTCCATTTACATGTCACAATTTCTTATTTCACCGGTCGCCGAAAGTAAAGAAATAACAACTTGTTTTTTTAACTTTAAGGTTACTTGTTGAAGAAGTCGAGCAAGTGATTCTTCCGGTGAGACGTGGTTTCCACGTCTTGCTTGGTGAGAAAGAGAAAATACAAAACTAGTTTTCAACAATGGGACCCCTTTAGATCAGAATTTTCTAGATTTTGGGAGAAAAACAAGATGAAAAAGCAGAGAAAATGTCTTGTGACCAGGGACGAAATTAACAGCATAATTTTATACGATAATGTTATTTTAAAACAACTAGATCAGCTCTTTTTTTCTGCAAAAAGCAAATTTGGCGATTACTTGGTATCTCAATGACGTAATTTAATATTCATTAACTTTATCAATTCTTTCGTCATCCCATACCCAATCTTTGGTACTAAAGAATTGGGTTGCCTGGTACATGTTTCTCCACCATTACCACTTCCTGGGAATTTCCCTGCTTTTACATCTTCCTCTTTTACTTTTATAAAAAGTGAAGATATAAAGCTGACCCTGAATTCACGATTATGTTAGAGCTTTTTCTATCCTCACCAATACTCAAAGCTCTTTTTACTGATTTTATTACATTGTATTCATTACATATTATCTTTTAATATAAAGAAAAGAAGCCCATGAGTTGGCCCCTTTGTCTTTTTGGACTGGGTCATGTGTGGTCCACATCACTGCTTCCTAGGACGGTGGATTTTTTATCCGTGGGATTATCTAATTATTTTTACTTAAAATCAAATTAGTTCAATCACAAGTTAACCATTCAATGTATACAAGTTGTTGTTGATTGTCAGAAAAGAGAAGAGAATAACAAATACAATAAATGAAATGGTAAAAAAATCACTGACACATAGAAATAGAGTAAGCATAAAATTTAAAAGTGCGATCAGAAGAGGATTGTTTTTATGTAATTGGAGGACCATAAAAAGTAACGGGTTTAGTCTGCATAAGACGTACCAGCTTCAGGTTTGTAGACACATTCATGAACCTTATGACTTGCATCAGATAACAAACGTTTTTTTCATCAACCTCCTTTTGACTCGCAGTATATGATACAAATAATTCAACATATACTTAATTAACATTTCTCTATTAATGGATCATATCATCTTATTTATATGCATACTAAGATTCATCTTATTTTGATTGCAAAATTTGGATAGTTTGTATAAGCGACTACATTCAATTCTTCATATTGTAATTTAAATAAAACAATGTTATCTATCATTATATATATATATATATATATATATATATATATATATATATACTTTTTTTAGTTTCTTAATTTTTTACTAATATTATATCTTGACTTTAATCATTGATAAGAATGTTAATTTATTATTTAATTTTAAAATATATTTTTAGTTTCATATTAATTGGGTTGTGTAGTTTGATTATTCAATTCCATCCAATTAAATAAATTGGATTCCTTTTTTTTTCTTATATTAAATCTAATCTAATTCAATTTTTTAATGGGTTGGGATATAATTTTATATGTAAAATAGTTAAATAATATTATATTATTAATAATAGAAATATATACTTTTTTTAATTATTATATCAAGAAAATTTTCAATATTAAATCATATAATTTTTTAATATAAATTATTAAAAAATATTTAAAATTAAATTTGTTAATAAAAATTACTTTTAAAACCTTGTAACTCAATTAATCTGAATCAATTAATCATGATATATATTATTTTTCAATGATTAAACAATGAATTTCATCAAATCAAATTCCACTCAACTTGTAAATAATGTATTATAAAATAACATAGTTAAACTAATTACTTCATAATGATGACAATTATACCATTGAAGCAAAAATATGCTTTTGTGATATTTATTTTTATATTATTGAAATATTAATTAAAAAAAACATATTTAAGGGAATATGATTTCAATTAAGAAATTTAAAACTTATTTAATGAAAACATTTTCAATATTAGAATTAAAATTTTACGACTTCAACTTTATTATTATTATTATTAGTATACTTTTTGTTGTTTTATTCTTTTTTTTATTATATTCATAATAATAGTTGTTTTTTTTTAATATTATAATATTTTATCATCTTCTTCTTATTATTAACATTTAATAATAGTAAAATTAACATTAACATTAATAATAAAAATAAATAAAAAATTAAAGTTTACTATAATTTTTTTTAATATTTAAAATGGTACCTTTTCATATTAGTTAAAAAAAAAACAAAATTTTATTACCAAATACTATTTCTTTAAAATTGAAAGATTTAATGAAAAAAAAACTTCAGCAAGCCGTGTATTGCCTAAACTTATCATTTTACGTATAAATTTTAAAACAAATTTTTAACACGTTCTTTTTATTAATATGTATTTTTTTTTATCAGAGTGAAAATCATCATCTTCAAAACCCAATTCCCTTTTTTCATTAATCTTTTTTTTTTTGTTGTTGTTGCATAGAAGAGCTAATTATAAATAACAGTGGCATCATCATTGATCCCACTAGTTTCAATTTCCTTCTCGTGTCTCTGCACAATTAGCCACTCTCACCACCACCATGTTTCCTTCTAGAGACATGGCTATTGCTTCACCCTCCTCCATCTTCTCTGCTTACGCTTCCATGACAGCCTCCGTCATGCTTCTGCGTACAATAACCAACGACCTTGTTCCTCAACCAATTCGTGCCTACCTTACCAACACCTTCCGCTACTTCTTCAAGCCTCGCTCCAACACTCTCACTCTCACCATTGAAGAGTACTCCAGCGGCATAGCGCGCAACCATCTCTACGATGCCGCAGAGGTTTACTTGTCCACAAAAATCACCCCCCAAAATGAGAGACTTAGCGTCAGCAAGAGCCCAAAGGAGAAAAAACTCTCCATCAGACTTGAAAAGGGTGAAGAGATAGTGGATTGGTTTACTGGGGTGAAGCTCAACTGGAAACTAATCTGCTCAGAAGTCGATAAGGGCAATGGTTCCAGTGATCACAACAGAAACAGCTCCACAAGAACAGAAAAGAAGTACTTTGAGCTTAGCTTTGAGAAGAAGCACAAGGAGATGGTGGTGGAAACTTACTTACCTTTCGTTCTTGAGAAAGAGAAGGAGATGAAGGACGAGGAGAGGGTGTTGAAGATGCACACTCTCAACACTTCCTATGGTTACGGAGGGTTCAAGTGGGATTCTATTAACTTGGACCACCCTTCAACGTTTGAGACCGTGGCTTTGGAGGCAGAGATGAAGAACTACCTAATGGAGGATTTGAACAGGTTTTTGAGGAGGAGGGAGTTTTATAGAAAAGTTGGGAGGGCTTGGAAACGAGGGTACTTGTTGTACGGACCACCGGGAACCGGCAAATCGAGCTTGATTGCAGCCATAGCGAATTACTTGAAGTTTGATATCTATGATCTCCAACTTGACAATTTAGTCACCGATTCTGACCTCAGAAAGCTGTTGCTGGCAACTGCAAATAGGTCTATTCTGGTGATTGAAGACGTCGATTGTAGTGTGGATCTGCCAGGGCGCAGACAAGGAGATGGACGCAGGCAAGGAGATGGACGCAAGCAACAACCTAATGTGCAGGTTGCTGATCTTAACTATTTTTCTCTCTTCTTTCATCCACCATCTGCAAATTCAATGGCTAATGTGTTATATGTTTGTTGAATTGTGAAGTACCTTGATTAGCTTTAAATTTATTCCATACTCTTCTAATTTGGCTACCATGTCCCTGTCCAACAATTATTGATTTTAAATTCATGTCTGTGTTCCATTAAACCAATCCACTCACATGGGTACATTCTGACGGCTTTTTCACTACAAATATTGGAATTTTATTGATATTGCTCAAATTTGTATAACATAGATTTTGTGATAAAAAAATTAAAATTGCATTTTCTGTAATAAGTTCAATATAAAACCGTAGAATCGTAGTACCACTTATTAAATAAATATATTATTTAAAAATTAATAATTTATTTATTATTATATATTTATATTATAAAATATTATATTAATGATTTGTTTTATTTATATTAATTATTATTTTATATAAATTTTGTAAAAATAATTATGGAAAAAATATTTTAAATAAAATAAAATATATTAATAAATTCAAATATTTTTAACCCCCTTTAGTGAAAAAGCCACGTTCTGACACTAGCATTCACTTGTCATTCTTGTCCTGAACTCTTTCCCTGTAGAAAAATTAGAATAAAGATTTCGTACAAACTTCTAAAATAAGAGAAATTATTATGCAGTTTTAGACTCTTTTGTTTATTAACACTCAATCATGTGTTATATGAAGATTGATGGAGACTACAGTTTTGAGTTTGAATACTAACTATACGTTTCTCTAACCATGAGTATAATTTGATGGACGTAGTTGAGTTTGGGCGGATTACTGAACTTCATAGACGGGCTATGGTCGAGTTGTGGAGACGAGAGAATCATCATACTCACCACCAACCACAAGGAGAGGCTAGACCCAGCACTGTTGAGGCCTGGAAGAATGGACATGCACATTCACATGTCTTATTGCTCCTACCACGGCTTCAAGGTTTTGGCCTCAAACTACTTGGACATTTCTTCGGATCATCACCTCTTCGGGGAGATTGAAGGTCTGATAGAGGACACGCACATAACCCCAGCACAAGTGGCAGAGGAATTGATGAAGAGCGAAGATACTGAGGTTGCACTAGAAGGATTCCTAAAGTTCCTTAAGAGAAAGAAGATGGAAGGAGATGTGTGTGGGAATGATAGTTCAGATAAAACTGAACTTAACCAATCTAAAAGCTCCAAAAATGGTTGCAAGCAAAAAAGACCAGTTTCTATCAGCAAGAGAAAAAATAGTGCGGGTACTCAGAGAAGGACAAGAGCGCGTACTTAGCAATAATGTGTCTACAAATATATACTGTCTCTGATATATGTTCTGGGGGTTTTGTTAGTTTTAACTTTATGCTTTATTTGGTGTTCATGTCACTAATACGTGACAGTATGTGTTTTATGCATGTCTATGATAGTTTTAGTAACAATGGCAGATGACCAGCAGAAAGAAAATCTCACTATCACCACATTGCTTTGGTGCTTAGAAATATAAACAAGAGCAGCTTTGTGGAAAGATAAGGAGGATTGTAACAATGTTTTTAATTAGATTTAAGAATGATATAACTGTCAGTCAACAACATTTTCATCTACAATAAGGATACCCTAACAACACCCCTTTTTCAAGTTAAGATATTATATTATTTCATCAATATTTGATTTCAAAATAAATAAAAAATTGCAAATGTCTATGAATCATTATTATTTTTTATTTACTTGATTATTAGTTTATTTATTAAATTCATATATTTTTAGTGGAGTGGCTTTTATTCTATAATAATATAGTTATAAAAAAATCCCATTTTTTTTTCTATTCAATTAGAAAAATCAAAATCCTACTTTTACATTACACACATGCCCAATTTAAGTTAAATGACTAAAGTAGTAATATTTCTTGATTAAAATTTATTAAATATTACAAATTTATGAAAACAAGAATAATCAAGTAGAATGTAAGACCCATGATTTCTATTAAATTTAACCAGTAAAAGAAAGTATGTCAGATTTTTTTATTACTAACATTTTTCAGTTTCTTGTCATCAGGTATTCACTTGACTTAATAGAAACTTTACGTTATATATATAATTTTTATTTTTATTTAAGAACAAGGTTTGATGTTTTGGGCCCGGCGCAACCTAGCCCAGCCCACGTCCGTTCCTCGTCTCCTTCCTTCGTGGATGACACAGATAGCAGCTGCAGGTTCTATCGTAGTAAGCTTTCAATCTCCGCTTCCTTCAATTTTTGAACAATTTCTCGCTTCTCAACTTATCTAGCATTCAGATCGAAAAGACCCCTGCTCCTTCGCATAGATCTTTACGGTGCAAACAACCCCTAATTTTCGTCTCAATGATTATTATTATTATTACCAACAATTTCTGATTTTCAATTATGTAGATAACAAAGATGGATCCAAACGCGGTTAAGTCCACTCTGTCCAATCTGGCGTTTGGAAACGTAATGGCTGCAGCTGCCCGCGATTATCAGAAGGTAATTTTAAACCCTTCACTTCACTATGCAATTGCCTTCTCGATTCGCATAAAGGGAGACAAAACTTCTCGCTGATATGTGCGTAAAATGGAAAAATCTCAATTATGCATGTCTCGCAATACATTTCCTCATTCGTGTGAACCTAGGTCTTATCCATTTCATCCTTCCCTTTTCGATACTCATTTTCATCAGTTGGTGGTCTTATCCATGATCATTACTTGATTGCTTAAATTCAGCACCTTATCTTCTTAAAATTCTGCACCTTACTTTATTATATATCAAACTATGTCCTACATTGCTTCATGTTTTGTATATTTTAAATGCTCAATGTTATGATATTGTCATTTTTTTTTCACTACTTGGATCTGGCTCTGCATTTTCATATGTTTTCTTTTGGCGCAAATTAAACTGAACTACTAATGCTGCTATTATGGAAGAACCTATGTTGAAGAAACTCACCATGGTGAACAGTTGAATATTTTGTTTTTTTTCTTGACAGTTTTTGAAGCACTATTTTAGGAACTTGTGTATTATGTGGTTGGTGCCTAAGTCTCACATAGAGTAGTATTGAAGTGTATTATAGGAACTTGGGTATTATGGGGTGTCTAAACTCCACATTGAAGTGTGGGATGCTCAGTGAACTATTTAAGTGTTTGACTCTCCCCCTTAATATCTAGCTTTTGAGGGTTGACTTCCCATGTGCTTGGGTACTTTTCACTCTAGTTTGTCAAAAGTACTTTGTTCTATATATTTTAAACTAATTGAAGTCATATTTAGATAAACTTATCCATAAAAACTTAAAGAAGAATGACATAAAAATATAAAATGTATTGAACTTCTCCATAAGATAATATCAACTTATGAACCTTAGCTTTTGGAGAGTTTAAAGTTAAATGAAAATAACTTCTATAAATGAAAATAACAATTCATTTTACCTACTTATTTTATTCTCCTATTAGTGCTTATAAAAAGTTTATTTGTAAAGAGCCTTACTGTTTACTCATATGTGCTAACATTTTTTGCAAAATTTTCTCTGATGTTTGTTGTTGTGTATAAATGCAGCAGCTTCATATTGATGTATTGTAACACATGCTATGATCCCTGCAGGAATTGCTTGCTCATGAGAAGGCACAGACATCAAGTTCAGTAAATGAGGAGGTTGACCTTGATGAGTTAATGGATGTATGCTTTGCAAACCTTTCAACCTCATCCTGTATGTATGCTTTGCATACCTTTCAATCTCATCATATATGTTCAGTAACTGGTCTACACAATGTTGATTTCAGGATCCTGAGTTGGAAAAATTGCATGCAGATAGGATTGCAGCTCTTAAGGTGGAAATCTCCATAAGTACCAAGATACAAATGATGTTCAAAATTTTGTTTTTACTTGTGTTGTATATAAATTTACTTGCTATTCGCGATTTTTCTTCACCAGAAAGAAGCAGAGAAGCGAGAAGAATGGAAGAAGAAAGGTCATGGAGAATACCGTGAAATAACCGAAGGTGATTTCTTAGGCGAAGTCACTGGAAGTGAAAAGGTGATTTGTCACTTCTACCATAAGGAGTTCTATAGATGCAAGTATGTTATTCACTTAAATATTATTCCTTGTGACTCATAACAGCTTTCTGTCTCAATTTCTAACATGCGTGGATACATGTGTCTGTTATATTAACAAATGTTTCCAGGATAATTGATAAGCATTTAAAGTCCCTTGCACCAAAGCATATTGATACGAAGTTCATCAAGCTTGACGCAGAGGTCAGCAAAACCCATTCTATATTGATTTTGGAGTTTGCTTAGGGTTTGAGTCCATGTAACTGTATCTATCATTGGACATATTTTCTTAATCCAATTGTTTGACTTGGTAAAGAAAAATGAAGCTCACTATTGAAAATGAAATGCAGAATGCACCTTTCTTTGTTACAAAACTGGCTGTCAAGACTTTGCCTTGTGTCATACTGTTCAGGTGAGGCCTTAATCTGTGGCTTTAGGGTCATGGTCCATGAGTGATTCAGTATTGAAGAGTGTGTTAATGTTTCTGTCATGTCCCAAAAACAGATGAGAATGAAGTTTAAAACCATACAACAATCTTTATCCTCAATAACACCCCCTCCCTCTCCAAAAAAATCGACACAGAAGGTAATAGGTGTAAGGTGGCAGAAGTTATCTTGGACGAAATTAAGTTCTGTTGTTAATGAACTAACCTGACAGTATATATAATAAATGTGGATAATATTGATTTGTTGTGTTAGTATAATGGCTAAGGACTAGGTGTTTCTTTCTTCAGGCAAGGAGTTGCAATAGATAGATTGGTCGGATTTCAAGATCTGGGAGGGAAAGATGATTTTACTACAAGAACACTTGAGGTTCTGCTTATAAAGAAAGGTAATGCTTCTAACTGACCTTTTCGTTTCTTAGCGACTGGAAAGATTTTTAACTGTCATTTAACAGGTATAATTGCGGAGAAGAAAGATGAGGATGATGAAGATGATGAATATCTTGACAGTACACGTAGAGTAGTCAGATCCTCCACAATTGCTGGTTCTGATTCTGATTCTGAATAAAACTAACCAGCTAGTGGCTTCATAAAAGAAGAATCTGCAGTTTATCCTCTTCATATCTTTTTGGATTTCGGGCTTTGTATAAACCTTGTTACACTGTTGGTTCGTTTGTTTTTGTTTGGGAAGTGGTTCGAATCTATATCAATCATACAGAAGCTCTCCTCGCCACCATTGTTGTATGAACTTGTCCCTGTGGTAAACTCCTAACATTTCTCCCATCCAAGCCAAGGGTGCCAAAAGTTGGAACATCATTTGTAACAGAAGTTGATATATATCTTCTAAAATGGATTTAATTATTGTTCATTGAGTGCAGTACAAAGCCACTAGATATGGGTCAATGCTTGAATAGTATGCATGAAACTGTAGGATCAAACTTTAGGACACTTTTTTTTTCTGTATCCTGTCAAATTCTCTTACAGGAAGTTGGGGGTTCAAATTTCTTCACTACTGTTGTACCAAACCACAATTGAGAGCATTATGAATATCATTACATCATTTGTTTTTCCATCAAAGAATATGATTACATCATATTAAACAGAAATTATCCTGTGGCTTTGTTTAAATAGCACAAGAGTTACTTAAAGAGTATGATAATATCGTTATAAAAAAAATAATTATTATCATGTTAATCGATTTAGTAAGAATAATTTTATTTTTATTAGAATAAAACAATAATTAACCTAGAAAAAAAATAGATTTTCATCATTCCATTGAAACAGTTTTGCTATATAAACTCTATATACATTTCTGGGAATCAAATATGAAAAACTAAGATTTTAGATTAAATTAAGATATTCTCGTACACCAATTAAGTTCTTAATTAATCAAAAGTAAATTATTTGCTTTAAAAAAATATAATTTTTATTCCACTAATGTATTTCCTTGTGGTTTTTTATAAAAAAATCTTATCAAATTTTTAATTTTTACCAATGGATAACAAAATCTATTGATATTTTTTCACTTCTACTTCAAAATATCGTAGTTGCCCACCATCTACTACTGACAGGGAAATATCCTGCACTGTGTGACCTTCAATTGATTTAATAATTGATTTGATAATAATTAAATTTTTTAAATGTTAATTTAACGTGTATTTTCTTAAAATGATTGTTTTAATTGGTTAAATTAATATTTGACATTGATAATAGTTTTCTTAGATAACTTAATTAATAGGTTAATCATTTTAAAAATCCCTAAAAATATTTGTCGTGTTGTACGATTTTACTACCTGGCTTGTGAATATGCAAAAAAAAAAAAAAACATTTTATACGTATCCATATCAACTTCTTTTCATATAATAGTTATGTGATTTTTTTGACATCTATATTAACAATATGATTGAATTTAATTTATATAAACTTATTGCTACATAATTTTGGACTATAAATACTAATGAATTTAATAATTAAAGCCTACCATTTATTTGTTAAGTTTAATGACTAATTATCTATAAAAACTGTAATGTGGCCTACAATAAAAATTTATTACTAAGATGATTTTTAGAATAATTATTATAAAAATAAATTTATCATAAGTTTGTAATTTAATGATAAACTTTTTTGGTACAAATTAAGTGTATTTGTTAGGAGAGACAAACCTATTTAATTATCTAATATTATTAAAATAAAATCTATTGATTAAACTGAAATAATTGGGTTAATACTAAAATGAGTGAGCATGCATGATGCATGGAGTAGCCTTACGTTTCGCCCAAACTCTTTCTCTTCTCTTCTCCATTTAGCAAATCGCGAATTCGTCAATGGCCAATCGTGGAAGCCTCGCTGTCTCTGAAACACAACCTATTTTCAGTGTTCTCTTCCCTTCATATAACTTCTCTCTCTGTCCTTTCTCTTCGTCCCGTTCGCTTCCACTAGGTAGGTCATTCTTTACCTCTTTCATCTTTCATCTTTCATCCCTCCCTGTTCACTTTCCTTTCTCATTCCCCTTATTTTTCACGGAATTGTAATGAAAAAACCTTTAAAACAAAAGGGCACACCCATGCGTTACGTTCATGAACGAGCCTCGTGTGTTTGCATGGCATGCACGTTGTTGTGCTGTTAATTGCTTTGTTGGTGTTTAATGGGTTATCACTGAATTGTAAGGTTGTTGCATACATGCAGGGCATTTGGGAGTGCAACGTTCCTTCTGCTATCGTATGACGAGCAAATAAAACTCCTGAATCCCCGGAAGAAGCTAAAAACTAAAACCACGCCATGTCTGGACCCCTATCTCCAAAGACATGTCAGTTTCCATCTCCATCATTCTTTCTTTCTTTCTTTCCAACGTTGGTTAAATTGCAGGCTCACATGTTTTGTTGTGATTATTTTTGGACATAAAAACAACTTACATTTTAAATACAGTTCCTTATGCATTTTTAGCGTTGGTCTCTAATGAGTAGAGTTTCTATCGATAATTAGAGTAATAAATATTTACATAATAGTTGAACATACGTTGCTGATGTAAAATTCCAATTCGGATTAGAAAATAGTATGTTTCTACCATCAAAATCACAGAAAGTTGGTAGAAAGGCTAAACCAATTGTTGTTGATGGTTGCATTGCAGCTCTCGAAAACGGTGATCGTGTTGGTTCACTGAAAAAAAAAATGAGGAATTCCCTCACAAGGAGTAGGAAAGGCTGCAGCAAGGTCATGTCGATAGAAATCGAGGATATCCGTGATGCTGAAGAGTCCAAAGCCGTTGATGAGTTCCGTCAGGCTCTTGTCTTGGACGAACTACTTCCAGAGAAGCACGATGATTATCACATGATGCTCAGGTCACCTTAATTTTCTTGCTTAACCCTTATTATTAAGCAAAGTTTTTGTATAATTTTTATAACATTCAAAAGGTTTAAAATCTGACTTAGTTACTCCATTCAAATTTGCATTCGTGGGTCCATTCCTACATATAATGTTGTAGAGTAAATGTATAATTTGGAACTCAGATCAATTACTAATGTTATTTTAATCCTTGAAAGTTTCTGTCATTACGGTTGGTCATGACGGATGAATTTGTTAGCACCTTGGTGGTAAGTTTAGGAACCAATTTGTGAATGCAGTGATTTTCAGAGAGTAAAGAAGTAGAGAAACATTTTTTAATGGACCGAATATTATATTTACTAGGTTGGTTATGAATAGGAACTTGACACTTCACTATTTGCGTCCTGTTGAATAGGTTCCTTAAGGCCAGGAAATTTGACGTTGAGAAATCTAAGCAAATGTGGTCTGACATGCTTCAATGGAGGAAGGAATTTGGCGCTGACACCATCGGCGAGGTATTTGTTTTTGAAAAATGAGTTTGAGACTTCAGGGGATTTATTAATAGTTCTTGTTTATAGTTTTTCTCCTTTTGCTAACCCATTTTGTGTCTTCTATACTAGGATTTTGAATTCAAGGAACTCGATGAAGTGTTGCAATATTATCCTCATGGACATCATGGAGTTGATAAGGATGGGCGACCAGTGTACATTGAGAGATTGGGCCAAGTGGATGCCACCAAGTTGATGCAAGTCACAACCATGGACCGCTACATCAAATACCATGTCAAGGAGTTCGAGAGGACATTTGATGTGAAATTCGCAGCTTGCTCCATTGCTGCAAAGAAGCACATCGATCAAAGTACAACCATCCTTGATGTGCAAGGAGTGGTACGTATCAGAAATAGTTTATCTATAAGCCAATCCAACTTTCAAGTTAAAACATGAAAAATTAAACTTTCTATCTTTATTCACTTCACACTAATCTGGATGTCTGAGACAGAGAATAGATGATGAAAATTTGCTGTGTTTTAATGTTACAGGGCCTAAAGAACTTCAACAAGCATGCCAGGGAGCTCATCACCCGCCTTCAAAAGATTGACGGCGACAACTATCCTGAAGTATGTTTTCTTCTATTTTGCTTGAGATTTACATAAAGTTTTGTTGCAAATAAATGTTGTGGATTACTGGGTTTTAATATCACAAAATTGGGGCCTTCACTGCAGACCTTGAACCGCATGTTCATCATCAATGCAGGCTCTGGATTCAGAATGTTGTGGAGCACTGTTAAATCCTTCCTTGACCCAAAGACCACATCCAAAATCCATGTGAGAGCAAAGACCATATCTTAAATATCTGCCCGTTTTTTTTTAAATAAGCTTTTATCTGATTGAACTTAAAATTTATCAGGTTCTTGGCAACAAGTACCAGAGCAAACTGCTTGAAATGATTGATGAGAGGTGAGTTCATGATAGCGGATACTGTAACATTGTAATACATGATTTTCCTTGTGCGACAACTAATTTCAATACTTTTTCTCCTCCACAGTTGTCATTCTAGTATTTCTAAAGATTTTATCATCACATCATTGACTTAAGGTTGTTGACAATCTTTATATCTAATGGTTTTGCTTTGCCAGTGAGTTGCCAGAGTTTTTGGGAGGCACCTGTACTTGTGCCGATCAAGGAGGCTGCATGCGCTCTGATAAGGGCCCTTGGAAGGATGAGGAAATACTGAAGGTGGGGTTGCAGTCCCTTTTTCCACTCTTTTTATGCTTTCAGCTAATGATCAATTTGTGTTCCATTAAGGAGTGGCAAGTTTATGTGAGTCATATATATCTCTATGAACTAGCAGATGGTTCAAAATGGTGAGCACAAATGTTCAAGGAGATGTGAGGTTCCCGTCATTGAAGAGAGGACAACTTCTGAGGTGAGATATCCTAGCTTACTGAATGTCTTTATTAAACTAAATCATGGCTTTCATTTGTCATTTCCATTTGATATTGTACACAGTTTCCTCTATTCAAAACCATTTGTTCATTTTTGTTTTTACCCCTGGTTATTCCTTTCATTATGGATCAACATCCAAACTAATCAATGAGCATGTTTAGGAACACGAGACTGTCAAGTCGGAGGCAAAACTCACCACACAAAAGTCTTCTGCCATTGCTGAGGTTTGTTATTTTTATCTTTTAGAACATCCATCCTTGATCAATAATAGAAACCTGCATATCAGTGTACAAGATATAGCTAGTGAGGTTAATGCATATGGAAAAGTTAAACACATTAAACTGGATAATTATACTGTGGTGTTGTGAACTACATTTTGCTATCTTCATGGACATCATTTTGGAAGTCTCGTGTGCCCTTTATTTTGTTACTAAATAAAAGTGAATCTTGTGTCCGTTTCCATAGCTTTAAGTACTAAACCTTGACAAAATATAACAGGTCGCTTCTTCCAAGGCTTACAAGTACGAGGACTTCGTCCCCGCAGCTGAAAAAACTGCTTGGAAAAAGGTGGATAAGAATGACAAATTTGCTGTATCCAAAGGTAGAATTGAAATTTCTTGGTTACCTCTATTTTATAGGAAGCATATTCCTAATGATAAAGACTTTTTAAAGTCATCTTGTGTGGTGCCTATGCCAAATTACAACACATGAGAAGTGTCACTCCTGCATAAATATGTCCAAATCCTATACTCAAAGGCAACTTGTGAAGTGAATAATGTGTTTTGTGGAACTCATGGCAGCTGGAGCAGATGCATACGCCATGGTTGATTCGTTCAAGATTCACGAGAGAGTGAACTCACAAATTTTAACTGGCGTGATGGCTTTTGTGATGGGCATTTTGACCATGGTGAAGATGACCAGGAACATGCCCAAGAAGCTCACAGACGCCAACTTCTACTCCAACTTGGGCGGTGAATACAAGGGGCAGGCCAATAACTCCGACCAAATGACCATCCCTGCCGTCTCTGCTCAAGAGTTCATGACTGTGATGAAGCGCATGGCTGAGTTGGAAGAGAAAATGACCAACATGAACAACCTCACCATCTGCATGCCTCCTGAGAAGGAGGAAATGCTCAATGCCGCTATCACCCGAGCAGATACTTTGGAGCAAGAACTCATGGCAACCAAAAAGGTAAACAAGATAAACCTCTCTTGAGTTTCTTTATTAGCAAAAAATCATTAGCGCAAAGTGTTTCTCTAACAATAATTAGTAAAAATAAGTGATTATTTCTTTGAAAATCAAACACGCATACTCTTAATTAGGGACATGACTTTTACATTCTCTGTTCTCACCATTTCACAATATTGCTGCACAACTTTGATGAAATGTTTACACCATGACTTGTTAGGCTTTGGAGGAGTCCCTTGCTAAGCAACAGGAGCTTTCGGCTTACGTTGAAAAGAAGAAAAAGAAGAAGAAGATGATGGTACGTACACTACAGCTACATAATCATATACAACAACGTAGTTATTTGTTCATATAACTTGTTATTGTTTGTGTTGTTTAATATCTTGTTTCATAATGCAGTTCATTTGGTAAAATTTAACTGGGGTAATTCTACACACTCGGCTTTCTGAAGACTTCCCAAATGCCAATTTTTTCATTTTTATTGTTCATTCATAAAATGTTCAAATTATGAAGCTTACAACAAGTATGATTGCGTAGCACTCTAGGATTGGACTTTCTCTTCATGTACATATCAAACATTCAAAATCTATGCAAAGCCAGTCCTGTTTTGGACATATTCCAATCAATCTTTTCTTCTTGTATAAAATTATATCAAAATCTAATCGTCACAAAAGAAAATTCCATGATTTTTTTAACATTCTTCAAATAACATTGTTTTAAACTAAATTCATAAAATATAAGTATTTTCATTCAAATAGTCACATGGTCTAACGTGGTACATCTGGCTTCTGGGTACCGAATAATTAATAAAATGGAAAAAAATTTCCCCTTTCATTTCATACAATATATATATATATATATATATATATATATATATATATATATATATATATATATATATATATATATATATATATATATACATCAAATATTAATCACTTTTTTATGTGTTATTATGGTTATTCTTTAAAACAATTAGAAGCTTAAAATATTAAAAAAAAATTATTATAAAACAACTTCTCATCAAATTGAGTACAGACAAACTTAAACCAACTTCTACTTTAAAAAGAAATTATAGCTAAAAAAATCACTAAGCCTTTATATTAAAGTTAACTATGCCTATCACTAGTTTTTTTACCTCTATTTAACACGAACAATTTGGAAAATATATAAATCTTTCCTAATGTTTTATTAAAGTTGATGAGGAGACAAGAACACATGAAATATTAAAAAAAAATTATTATATCTCATTAGGAGTTTCTACAAAAAGTTTGTCAAATTTTTTTTATGTTAGTCACTTATCCATAAAAATAGTGACAGAGATTTTATATTCTTTTATTTTTTATATTTATTTATTATTTATTATTAATATATTATTTATTATTAATATATTATTTATTTTTCAATAGATCAAGATTTATCGTGTATTCAAATTTATAAATATAATATAAATTTTGTAAATTTAAAAATACTAGTAGACATAATTACATGACTCTACTATTTTTCTTTTTGTATTTTTAAATCTAAAATCATTATTATTTTTCAATATTTTTTACTTTAAAACTAAAATAACATTATCAATTTCCCTTTGAGTAATATTAAGAGTAAATATTTTTCCAGTAATAAGTCATTTATCTTACTACAAACCTCTATCCTTTATCTCCATGCACCATGAAATTTTCATTTCATGGTAATCCAATTTAAATACCTTTTATTATTTAAATGTTAGAAAAGAGTAAAGTCAACTACATATTATCGTAAAAATACATAAATTACAAATTAATTTTCTATTATTAATTCATAAAAATACATCATTGTTAATTCATAAAAATTGATTGCATATTTTTATTTGCAAATATTAAACTATATGTCTACTAACATAAATTTTTATAAAATTAAATATAATAAACAAGTACATTAAAAGTTATATATCATAAACTCGATATCTATTTAAATAGTATATCTTATGATAGAAAAAAAACTAAATAATTAAGTAATTCATAATTGGGTGGTTTTTACTTCTACCTAACACAATCCAATTATAATTTAAACCTGTAAATTTTGTTTAGCCTTACATGTAAAAAATATCGATATGAAAAATGGAAATCATTAATTAAAAGCTATTTTACTCTTGTTAAAAAAAAATGCAGTGACTTGAATTTGAGTGTAACTAATTTAATATGCATATATAGCTTATTGTTATTTTCCTATTTGCTTAGAGCACAAAAAAAACATAAATTGAATCTCTTTTTTTTTTTCAAAAAAATAATGAGTTGAAGTCTTTTTTTTTTTAATTGCCCATCTTCTATTTACATTACAACCTTGTCATTTCTCACAAACTAAAACAAGCACACAATAAAACCTCTTTGATTAAATTTCTGGGTTACCTCTGGTATCTGTTTCTAATAATAATATGAAAATGGCTAAACACAACGATGAATAAATGATGCGTAAGAAAGTGGCACAAGACACAAGCCTCTGCTTCTAAGGTCTGGCTTCAGTTCTCTGCTATTTAATTTATTTGTATCCTGTACCCACAAAACAAAACTTAACCATTATCACCAATTCAATATATTATCAATTAATTTATGTCCATGTCATAATCATATATATATTTTTCAAATTTGTTTCTATTTCTTTTTTCTTTCTCTTCTCTACTACTGCAGTCACTGAATGTAGTATGCAGAAACAGTTACATATGCATTAATCCAAATTAAAAGAATACGAGGAACTTTCTTAAACAGAAATTATTACGCTCAATCTCAACTATTTTAATTATCAATTATATTGACTAATTATCTTTAAAAGTATTAATTCACTTTAAAAAAAAAATTAAAAAAACCTCTAATTAATGACCATATGTACAGAAATATGAAGAAAGTTATAAAACTAGAGTTTTGTGCTTTTCTTACCAGCTGCACCATTCTATTGCTTTGCGTGGATTTCATGTAAGGAATGCTCAAAGTCTGTAGTGAACAAAGAGAAATGTGAGTCTGAAAGAAATTTATAAACGTAATTTGTTAATTTATTTCTTTACTCAAGTAGCCCTAGATTCTACGTACACACTTAACAGTTCAACTTAATTAGTAGCTATATTACATTTGACTCAAACTTTATCTATAATATATATTTATTTTAATTCTAGTTTTATTTTATAATCAATATTTAAGCTTCACTTCCTAACCAATATAGACTTCTGTTTATATATATTAATTAATGAGTATTTAATGTGTTCATATATGCCTCTATGAAAATGCAATATAAACAACCCCCTGATGGATTTGAGTATATATATATAGTTAAAGTAAAGAAACATGTAAAGTGAGAAAGTAAAAGTTTGCATCATTGGTTTGAATAAAGCACCTTGTTTGTAATAATATCACTTAATATTAAATTATACTTTCGTACTTAATTAATGTATCCTTACCTTATAAGAATACAAAGACCTCGATATAGTCATATGCTCACAGAACAATTTTAAATTTTTTTTGTTCAATAAATAACACTGTCTAATTTTCACCTGGATTTGTTGGTGAAGGAAATGGATGTAGCCAATGGCTTCACTTAAGACAGAGGCTGTACTGGTCTGCGAATTAGAGAAGATAATATATATAGGGTCAAATTAATATATATATATATATATATGTATGACAGACACAAATAAGGGGCCTAATTAGAGATCAGATATGATGTACCTTCCCAAAAGGTGCGACTAATCTTTGAAGAGTTTGAATCCTATCCCCCAATTTTTCCTTTCTTACCTGCTTTAAACTCAGTCCACATAGTTTCACTTCAACGTGAAAGTGATACAAATTATCAGTAAATGTTCATCATAAAATATTACCTTCAGGGGAGGGCATGACGATGGCTTTGACTTCTTAGCTTTTGCCTCAGATTCTTTTGCTAGAGAGCAATTGCTAGGCCTTTTCGCCGTTGCAACTTCATTTATAAATGAGGAAATCTGAAATTTACTTGAAAAAGTTAACCAATCCAATCGAATAGAATCACCGAATAAACATGATTACTATTAGTGCATATAACTTTGGTAGCCAGCCCAACACTCGTAGGAAAAAGAAAATAAAATGAAATGTGTTTTTACCTAAATTGAAGTTAAACATATAAAGACGTTAGTGGTAAATTAAAAAAAAATGTATACATTTATTTAAAGCACAAGAAAAGTTTAGTTCGTTGAATTTATGCATTTGTATATATGTCTTGCATGTGAGGAGAGATGTAGAGAAAATGTAGTACTCACTTTATTTGAGCTATTTGATGGACTATTTTCGCGGTCATGTATGTCGCTGTGGCTCAAAGCTATGCTCTCGTTAAGACCCAAAGTATCAGAGCAAGGTTGGGATTCACAACTCTCGCTATAACTTGTGTGCAGGTCAAATATTTTAGGATTTAAACCCAAAGAACATGAAACCAAGGAAGAGGTCATATCTAGGGTTGGTGTATTCGAAATTAAGCAAACATCGCCAAAGTTGTTATATCGCTTGCTTAGGGTCCCTCCATCAATAGGCTTGTCATTATGAAAGACATTCTCCGAAGGGGAAAACTCTTGACCAGTTAGACCAAGACTAGATAAGAAACTAGGAGGATATCGTGGTTCATGAATTGGGATTAGTGAACATGATTCCTCCATAGCCTTCATGGAGTTGTTGATCATTTCACCTTTAATTCTTGCCGGAAAGAGATCACTAACTGGCTGTTGAGTGAGGTTTTTTCCATTGTGAAAACCAAAGGCTTGCCTTGTTGAAATTCTAAGTGAATCGGTCATGGCGTGCTTGTGCTGTTCTCTTGAATTTGTAAAACTCTCAGTTAGAAAGCCACTGTTACAACCATTGCTGCAAACAAGCTCACACATAGATATAAGCCCATGGTGCATGCTATCACTGTTTGAAAGATGAAACAACTAAAAAGGAATAAAAAAAAAAGCAGTAGAGTGGTCAAATGTGAAATCAAGATCAATAGTATTATGTGAAGGCAACACTACAGCTAGCAGACTTAAATAATTAAATGATTTGTAGTGGAGAGTTCTGTGCAAACTGGTGTATATGCTTTTCTACTATATATGTCCATATCGTGATTATAAAAAAAAAGTTGTTCATATCTTCTCGATAAGTAGTTATTTTAGTTGAATAAAAATATCTGGGAAACCCACAAGCCCGATAAAATAGCGATATAAGAAACCAGATAATATTTAAGGGGGTTTCAAAGAATTCAGAGTAATTTCACCAATGAATATAACAACTATACAAGGGGATATTGTGACATGTAATAGATCCAGAGTTGAGTGAGCTGATCTTGAAGGGATGTGAAGGAACTTACTATATGTTGCTTGGGATCCATGATTGATTAGTGGTAATGGAAAGTTTAGAGTCAGGTGGTGGGTTTGCTGAAGTTATACACTGAGCAGATTCTTCTTGAAGCTGATGCTGAAGATGGAAACTAGCAAACTCCATAATTACTTAACAACTTGAAGATCCCCAAACAAAAGTGATGGAGCTAATTAGCTAGCTACCCTATGAAGCTTGAGAGAGCTTTCACTTTTTACCATGCACAAGTTGAAGCCCTTTTTCCTTGTTTTCCTCTCTTTCCTCGTTAAGTCTTTTTGAGATCACTATGCTCACTCCAAAGAACTCTAGTTATACTGGGAAATTCCCAAAGCAACTGCATAGAGCTTTGAAAAAGGGTCCTGAAAGAAGGTTATGGTGCTAGACAGCAAGGTTATTATATATACTGGTCCTCTCGGATCAACAAGTTGACTGTGTTTATGCTTTTAGGATAGACATAGATATGACACCTTCGGGGAATATGCATGAATATAAGTAAATTCTTTCTAAAGCTGAGCTAGTGGTATGGACCTTTTTCCTCGGTAAAAGGTTAGTGGACCTTTTGTTTTGCTTACAATAATATAGAGTTTTTCAAAACAATACTATTTAATTTGGTTAGGATCGAATGTGACTCATACGCTAGTGTGATTGAGTTAAGTATTTGAACCATATCTTAATTTGTTGGGGAAATTGTACTTGTATTTGTCTAACCATTTTTTCAACCACCATCATTATTGTTAGGGAATGGTGTTTTCGTTTACTTATTTAGCCAGATCTTAGTTAGGGAAGTTGTAGTTATATCATTTGTCAAGCGTTTTCTCGGCCACCATCATCATTGATTGCTAATCTTTCTGATGGCTTAGGGTTATATCAGTTCTTCTTTTCTTTACATCAGGTTATACTAAACCCACCAATATATATAATCAAATTTGGATTGAATAGTTAAGGTTGTCGAGTTACATACATTTAATTTTGTATCTTTTCAATAGAAATATTTCTATAAACTAAAAAAAGTTTAAATTGAGAACTTTTCTTGTTAAAAATATTATTTTGATTTTAAAAAGTACTTCCTTCCTCTTTTTATATACGAATGTCTTGAGAAATTAGCTTTATTCTTTTATAAAACTCTCTCCAAACTTTTTTCTTTTCATTGGGATGATTAAAAAGGACTACTAACAAATTTATAATATAAAATGTATAATCATTAGTAATTCTCTCTCAATACATTAGTTAATACCGAGGAAAGTGAGATAATGAGTTCCAATAATTTCAACTATAATTTTAAATAATAAAAATTATCTACAAATTTCATATCACTAACTAAATTAATTATCTTTCTTAATTGTTGTGATCAATTAGGTAAAATAAATGCGTAGGAACACGTCATAAAAAGTGAAATGAAATTCAAAGTGAAAAAATAAAAGAAAAAGTAATGTTCTACGTGTAGGAATTACACACATATTTTGATAACGCAATATTATTGTTCTGCATGCTTATCGTCCTTGCTTCTGTTTATATGATCGTGCGTGACGTTTGTGTTTTATTATACATTAATTTATCTAAATATTTACATGAATTTTGTATCGGTAGTATATGTTTTATTATTTTTTATTTAAATTAAAAATTAATTTTTTTATTATTGTTTATAATAAAAAAATTTATATTATTATATTAATTTAAATAATTAAGGCTGAAATATAATTAATATTTTATTATATTTTTACTATGTATACATATAATAGATAAATAAAATATACACATATACCATGTTATATATCAAAATACATATACAAAACCTAAAATTTTAATTTTTTTAAACTAATTATTATTGTTAGTTAGTTCAGTATTATCTAACGACACGTTACAGTACGAGTGTACATTTGGATAGAAGTTGGAAACATGTTGTAGAGAATTCCAATACACTTTCTTGAATTCTCGGGAGGCACAACATGAAGAAGAAAGATTAATTTGTTATTTTAGGATTAAAAAAAGGTAAGAAATTATCGGACAACTAAACAGAAAATACAATAAAGCTAAAATAGTCAAATCTCTTAATGTAACTCAAACAATACAACCCAGATTTAAAAATAAACAAATAAAAAAAATAAGAAAATCTGTTGTTAAGAACATTAAATTAAACAACCCCTTTAACAACTTTACCATTGAATTGCATTTCATTGAATAATTTTATATGACATTACAATACTCACAAATTAGTTAAACAATTCATTTAATAAACCATGTATTGCAATTATGAGGATACTCTGGATACACATTATCTATATACTCTAAGAGAAAGTGTTGAAATCATATTTAGAGATTAATACCATGTTATTTTGCTTTCTTTTTATATTTTCATTCAGGGTTTTTACTTCTCTAATTATAATTTCTAAAGTGTTGATATTGCTTTAAAACTCATTCATACATATTAATTAAATTGTATAAATCATTTAGTAACAACTATTTAAAGAGATTAAATTATTAATTCAAACTCAAATATTTAAACTCAAATATTAATTCAAACTTATTATAAAAAGTATTTTATAAATAAATATATATATATATATATAAAATATAAGCTATTTATTAATTCAAACTTATATTTAAATAAACTATATATATATAAATAAATATAAACTTATTAATTCAAACTATTTATTAATTCAAACTCAAATATTTAAAAAAATATAAACTTATTATAAAAAGTATTTTATAAATAAATATATATATATATATAATTAAAAATAATAAATCTAAAGTGATCATTTAAAAAATTATTTTACTCATCAAAATTAATTAATAACTTTATAATTATATAAATATTTATTTTAAAAAATTATATAATTTTTTATGTACTTTTTTACTTTATTCTATCCCTTTTATTATTATTTTTTTCACGGTTTTTTTTTTACTATCAAACGGATACTAACAAATTTTCACCCAAATGCAAACAACTGAAAACCAAACTGAATAAATAGAAAAACAAATAAATTAAAACTAATTAAACAAAAATATTATATTATATTATATTATATTATATTATATTATATATATATATATATATATATATATATATATATATATATAAATACGATGAACAAGAGTTATAGAATTATTTTTCATTTTTATTATTTTATAATCACATGTTATCTTATTTTTGATATTTACAAATTAATGACATATTGTAATTTAGATATGATAGTTTGATTTAATCTTTATTATGATTGATGATTATGCTTGCATTAACATTAGTTTAGAGGTGTTACGATTATTAGTTAATAGTCCTCAATGATTATATTTTTATGAATTATGCAGAGTTAACAAGGAAAATATGCCTCAAGTTTAACCTAGGAGTATACCACTTGAATTTTAATTAGAACCTCAAGTTTAAAACACCTACGAATGGAACAGTACCTCATGTGGGTTTTGACTTTACTTTTCTTCCATTGGAGGTTCTTTTCTCTTTTGCTTTTGAGACATTACTATGTTTTTTTATTTTCTCTGGTGTTAAGTTGTGACAAAGAAGGTTATTCTCATTGCCCAGAGATTTAATACAGTAGTTGGTAAAAGGCTGTTGTATGCCCTTTTTACAGTCACATTCTATGTATTAGCAAGAAGCAACGAATATTAAGACAAGACAAAAATGGTGAGAGATGGATTGAATCAAAATTTGAATAAATTTATGTAGTGCTGCTATTATTTATTTCCACTGCAGCATGGAAAAAAGGTGGCTACTATACATTTTAAAATACGAGGACCTCAGTGTGTAGGGTTAAAATAACATTTTGTATAGCGCAAATAGATTCCATAGAATAAAATGATATTGTGGGTTGTTCTGTATGGAGAATGCATTATTACCATGCTGTACGGTCACATTTATATATATTTTAATTGTAGGAGCCCCTAATCTCTGTCTATGCCTCTTCCTTTGTCTGCATCAAATGGAAATCCACGCTGGAATGGATGCTTCGTACGCTTGTATCATCAGCTGCAAATTATAAACTACGTTCTTCTTTTTCACACTTTCTTTGATGTAGAAACATGAGAGAGAAGAAAAATAAATTACAAAAATAATCAAATTAAGTATGTTTATTTGGAGTCAAGCTGTAGAACTCGCATGTAGATTCACTTTCCTGAAATAAATGATAATGAGTTTTTTAATAATGATTGATAAAATTAAATTTTAAATAAAGTTAAACAAAAACGTACATTTTTTTTAAGAGTTTGTCATGTTGATATTTGTTATCACGATATTCATATAACCTTACTTCTTTCATGTGAGATATTATAGGTTTATAATTTTTTTATTATAATTTTGTTTTTTTTTAAAAAAAAAAAATATATATATATATATATATATATATATATATATATATATATATAAAAATTAGTATTGATATCAAATCCTAAATAATATAAAACTTACAATTGAACAAAAATTATAAATACGTTTTTACATTATTTCGATAATAACACTCATTTTTAAGTTAATCAAATACTTTCATCCTTCTAAATAGCTAATTAATTGAGTGGTAATAATTATTAACTGAGTTAAAATAAATAGTTAATTAGACTGATAAGAATATCTTTTCTAAATAGTTAATTAATTCAGAGGTAATCATTATTAATTGAGTTAAAATAAATAGTTAATTAGACTGATAAGAATAAAACTATTTTCCGTTATAAGTACACTAATACAGTTATTAAGGGTGTTATTTGGAATTATGGTCTATTTATATTAAAGTGGTCCAATAATACGTAAATTTCGTTTTAATTAAAATTTTAATGACAAAATATTTCATTATCAAATAATTAAGTAGAGACAAAAAGTTGTGGTTCACAATGACAGAATGTGAATGATGTATATAATTTATGATATGTATTGTTCAATTATTGTTAATTAGTTAACTATAAATATTAGTTCCACTAATATGTGGTTTCTATTTTCTTCTCTAAAATACGCTTGCACGCGTATTAAATATATTTTCAAGATAAAGCATTTCTTAAACAAGTAGTAATCACAACATGACTAATTTATAAACCACAATGTCATGATTAATTCATGTAAAAATATATAATTTAATTTAATACTATTAGATTAAACTCGTTTTTATTGGGATACAGTATTACGTTCCTTTTCTAAAGTGGTTTATATCTTATGCTGAAATATATTATTTATTTTGTTTAATTATTTTAACACCATCAAATACATTATATAGTAAGTATTTGTAATGTAATGACTCGTGCAACTAAAATTGCATGTTTTGTAGTGCTTTACAACAAAAAGCTCAAGAAAGTTTATATGTTTAATTTGTTGTACAAATTCATTAATTCCAAGCAAAAAAAAATTTGGATAGATGTTAGGTATTTTCGATGAGACTAGCAATGAGGAAACATTTAGTGACCTTATTTGTACTTTTGGCAAGAAGACTTTGATACATTGAGTCGGCACTAAACGAATCATTGACACTAAACGAATCATCACCATCGACTCTGATACCACTGTTAGATATTTTTAAGGATGGTTAACAACAAAAAGGTTCTCACATATGAGTAATACATCAACCATATAAGAGAATATGACACCACCTTTAATAAAAAATTTTAATGCATTAGGTTATGAGTCATTTTCACTTATATGTTACTCAACTTTCTCATTTCTATCCGATGTGGGACTTCAACTCATACTTGAATTCTCAACCATAGATGTTATTCTAAAAAAATGTCATATCTTTTTACCGTAATAATGATATTTCAAATCTTAATTTGACTAAATTTTATCATAATTTAGTTTATGGCCGTTAAACATTATTATCAAGAAGATATATTAAATAGTGTCATATAGTTAGTTGAATGAATTAAATAATAATTTCAATCACAATAAATCATAATTCATTATATATATATATATGTTTTATGAATTGAGGTTAATCAATTTATATATATTTTCCTCTATTAATTTACTTGATATGTCTTTTAAAGATAAAATAAAGTTGTTTAAAACGGACAATAAGATAAAATAAAGTTGTTTAAAACGGACAATATCTCAAGCACGAGAGTTAATCCTAACAATGTTGTCATAATAGATATGAGGTCGAACATTTTCGCTCCAGCATCGAAACATGAGTGTCTACCGTAAGGTCATTAATAGAGTTTTGTTCGAGTCATATTCTTTAGTCCTCAACCGGATGTTATGTTCCGGTATGTTTATGGGTCTTATATTGCTTATGAGATGTTAGTCCTCTACCAGATATTATGTTATGGTACGTTTACTAGTCTCACGTTACTTAGGAAATGATACTAAGAATATGTAGTTTATATACAATCTCATTTTTTTTAACTCACTGGACATATCTTTTAAGTACAAAATTATGAAGAACTATAATCTAAAACTGACAATACTTAAAATATGAAAATTGATCATAATCATATTGTCATAACATACATGAGACTAAAATCTTCTTGTTAATAAACAAAACAAATGAGAAATAAAATAATTTATCATTTCTTCGATTTCTTCGCACATGTGCCACTTAACTAAAGGGTATCATCAAAACACATTTGCCGAGAAAAAAAAAATCCAATTTTAGAATAAGTTTGTTTATTCAATTCTTCACCTAAAATTTTGTTTATTCAATTCTTCACCGAAAATATTGTTGGAGAAGAAGACGTAAGTATTGCAAAAGCAAAATCCACGAATCCATGTCCACTACAAAAAAAAACCCTATTATCTACGGAATATTACATACGGATACAAATCCGTAGGTAAATTTTACATTACCTATGGATATTACCCACGGATAAAAATCCGTAGGTAAATTTTACATTACCTACGGATATTACCCACGGATGAAAATCCGTAGGTAAATTGTACATTACCTACGGATATTACCTACGGAATTCTATCCGTAGGTAATTATCCATTACCTACGGAATTCTATCCGTAGGTAATTATCCATTACCTACGGATATTATCCATAGGTAATGTAATCCGTGGATAATTCCGTAGGTAATTACCTACGTAATTACTATCCGTAGGTAAAGTGTACATTACCTACGGATATTACCTACGGAATTCTATCCGTAGGTAAATTATATTAAACTAAAAGAATTGTCACTAGCAAGAATCGAACCCGAGTACCTTAAAGTTGAAAACTGATACTTCAACCACTAAACTATTAGGATATTCTAATAATAATTTACAACTAAATTATACTTATATTAATTCGTGTAAATATATAAATATATAAATATAAAATATATAAATATATAAATATAAAATATATAAATATAAAATATAAAAATATAAAAATATAAAAATATACAAATATACAAATATATAAATATACAAATATATAAATATACAAATATATAAATATACAAATATATAAATATATAAATATATAAATATAAAATATATAAATATATAAATATAAAATATATAAATATAAAATATAAAAATATAAAAATATAAAAATATATAAATATACAAATATATAAATATACAAATATACAAATATACAAATATATAAATATACAAATATATAAATATACAAATATATAAATATATTTATATATAAATATATAAATATATAAATACATAAATACATAAATATATAAATATTTAAATATATAAATATTTAAATATATAAATATTTAAATATATAAATATATAAATATATAAATATATAAATATATAAATATATAAATATATAAATATATAAATATATAAATATATAAATATATAAATATATAAATATATAAATATATAAATATATAAATATATAAATATATAAATATTTAAATATATAAATATTTAAATATATAAATATATAAATATATAAATACATAAATATATAAATACATAAATATATAAATACATAAATACATAAATATATAAATACATAAATATATAAATACATAAATACATAAATACATAAATATATAAATACATAAATATATGAATACATAAATACATAAATATATAAATAGATAAATATATAAATATATAAATACATAAATATATAAATACATAAATATATAAATATAAATATATAAATATATAAATATATAAATATAAATATATAAATACAAATGTATAAATGTATAAATATATAAATATATAAATATATCAAAATATAAATATATTTTATATTTATATATTTTATATTTATATATTTTATATTTATATATTTTATATTTATATATTTTATATTTATATATTTTATATTTATATATTTTATATTTATATATTTTATATTTATATATTTTATATTTATATATATTTTATATTTATATATATTTTATATTTATATATTTTTTATATTTATATATTTTATATTTATATATATTTTATATTTATATATATTTTATATATTTATATATATTTTATATTTATATATTTATATATATTTTATATTTATATATTTTATATTTATATATATTTTATATATTTATATATATTTTATATATTTATATATATTTTATATTTATATATTTTATATTTATATATTTATATATTTATATATTTAGACGGATAAATATAAATATAATTTATTTGTAAATTATTTTCAAAATATCCTAATAGCTTAGTGGTTTGAGTATCGGCCTCCAACTCACGAGTGCTGGGTTCGAATCCTGCCAATGACAATTCCCTTAATCTAATAATAATTCAAAGTTTCGAAAATATAATAAATAATAAAAATATAATATAAAGGGGAGGGGGTCCTAGGTAATAATAAAAAATAAGGGAGGGGGTTGTAATAAATAAAAATATTTTGTTTTGTTAAGGTGAGTGCATTACCTACGACCATATTACCTACGGATTTTTGTCATTACCTACGAATTTTACCCGTAGATAATAAGCGTTTTTTTTGTAGTGGTCTGTGCATCCCACGCCTCCGCACAAACCGTTTTAGTGTCTCAGCACTTAAACCGCAGCTGGATCCATTAAGGGGTGACCCATTCTCAGCAAACGTATAATCTAATAAGGGCATCAT